CATCATCTCCATCAGCCCCTTCATCCCCATCACCCCTATCATCTCCATCATCTCCATCATCATCATCATCCCCATCAAATCCATCATCTCCATCATCTCCATAATCCCCATCAAATCCATCATCTCCATCATCTCCATAATCCCCATTACAACCATCATCCCCATCACCCCCTTCATCACCATCATCTCCATCATCCCCATCAGCCCTATCACCCCCTTCATCCCCATCATCTCCATCATCCCCATCACCCCCTTCATCCACGTCATCCCCATCACCTCCATCATCTCCATCACCCCCTTCATCCCCATCACCCCCTTCATCCCCATCACCCCCATCATCCCCATCATATCCATCATCCCCATGATCTCCATTATCTCCATCACCCTCTCAATCCTCATCACCCCCATCATCTCCATCATCCCCATCATCTCCATCATCTCCATCATCCCCATCACCCCCATCATCACTATTATCTCCATCATCCCCATCATCCCCATCATCCACATCACCCCCATAACCCCCTTTATCCCCATCAACCCAATCATCCCTGTCATCCCCATCACCCCCATCATATCCATCATCCCCATCATCCCCATACACCCCATCATCCTCATCATCTCCATCATCTCCATCATCCCCATCACACCCATCATCCCCATCACCCCTGTCATCCCCATCATCCCCATCATCCCTATCATCTCCATCATCTCCATCAACTCCATCATCCCCCTAATCCCCATCACCCCCATCATCTCCATCATCCCCATCACCCCCATCATCTTCATCATCTCCATCATCCCCCTCACCCCCATCAACCCCGTCATCCCCATGATCTCCATTATCTCCATCACCCTCTCAATCCTCATCACCCCCATCATCTCCATCATCCCCATCACCCCCATCATCTTCATCATCTCCATCATCCACATCATCCACATCATCCCCATCGTCTCCATCATCCACATCAACCTCCTCATCCCCATCATCTCCATCACACCCATCATCCCCATCATCTTTATCATCTCCATCATCCACATCATCCACATTATCCCCATCATCTCCATCATCCCCATCACACCCATCATCGCCATCATCTCCATTACCCCCTTCATCCCCATTATCTCCATCATCTCCATCATCTCCATCACCCCCATCATCCCCCTCACCCCCATCATTCCCGTCATCTCCATCATCTCCATCAGCCCCTTCATCCCCATCAGCCCCATCATCTCCATCAGCCCCTTCATCCCCATCACCCGCATCATCTCCATCATCCCCATCACCCCCATCATCTCTATCATCTCCATCAGCCCCTTCATCCCCATCACCCCCATCATCCCCATCAACCCCTTCACCCCATCATCCCCATCATCCCCATCAACCCCATCATCCTCATCATCTCCATCATCTCCATCATCCTAATCACACCCATCACCCCCATCATCCCTACATCCCCATCATCCACATTATCCCCATCACACCCTTCATCCCCATCACCCCCATCATCCCCATCATCTCCATCAGCCCCTTCATCCCCATCACCCCCATCATCTCCATCATCTTCATCATTCTCTTAATCCCCATCACCCCCATCATCTCCATCATCCCCATCGCCCCCATCATCCCCATCACCCCCTTCATCCACGTCATCCCCATCACCTCCATCATCTCCATCACTCCCTTCATCCCCATCACCCCTATCATCCCCATCATCCCCATCAACCCCATCTGTCAAAAAAAAGAGAAATGTCTTCGTTTTTTTTTTTAGATTATTTTAAGAGTGAATGTCTTGTTCATAGTTCTGTGCCTCTCCCCTTATTACATGTTTGAAAAGATATACGGCGGAAGGAACGTTTCAAGATTTTCATAAAAATCATAAAAAATATCAACTTTACACATTTGTTCAAATTATGTGTGCTACAATATTCCTTTGAGTCAGATGGAAATATTTTTATGAGTGTGTGAGGGCAACAGAAAGTAAGAATATAACCTTAACAGTTTTATTGTGAAAATATGACAACACCCGATCTTAATGTAAACGTTAGTAGAGACAAAGACATCCTGCTCCCTCAGCACCATTATGAATAAATAAACTGTTTAATAGGAATTAGATTACGATAATTAATCCCTACTAATATTATAAATGCGAAAGTAACTCTGTCTGTCTGTCTGTCTGTCTGTCTGTCTGTCTGTCTGCTACGCTTTCACGCCTAAACCACTGAACTGATTTTAATGAAATTCGGTACAGAGATAGAGTTGACCTTGAGAAAGAACATAGGATAGTTTTTATCCCAGACTTTTGAAAGGTTCTCTTGGAAACGCGATATAACCGAACTCCACGCGGCGAAGCTGCGGGCGGAAAGCTAGTATATAATAAAACAACGTGTGTCAACTGAAGATCGACAGAAGAATGATTTATTGAACATAGACAAATACAATAACGCTTATTGACATGATTGCCACAAGATGGCTAGTTGTATCCATATTTTGATATCCACAACACTTCCCATTAAAATATGATCTATTTTAAACTATATAAATACTTAACATGAACTTAAAGTTAAAATATATTACACTCTAACAATTCCTAAAGCATTTACATGTTTATAATGTTTTACAACACTTAAGCTTTTGGTAAATAAATCTGCAGGCATATCAGATATACACAAATAATTAATACTAACAATGTTTTTATTTATAATATCTCAGCAATAGTGATACCTGACATCCATATGTTTAGTTTTATTATGGAATACTGGGTTCAGTTATAATTTCTGAGCACTCATACTGTCATTATACGAGTACAAAATAATAGTATACATTCTACAAGTCACTTCATTTTGTAAGTTTCTCAAATACACTGCTTCTTTGCAGGCTTCTGATTTTGACACATTTTCAGCTACAGTACTAGAAAGTGAAATACATTTTTGTTTGCTACAATTCCAGGATATAACTGATCCTGACAAAATATAACAAAACCCTGAATATGATTTACTGTCATTAACATCACTGCTCCAGTCCTTATATCATTATAACATATCTTCTACCTGGCAATTTCCCAGCTATAGCCAGGGTCTGCCTATATCATTATAACATATCATTATAACATATCTTTCCTTATAACATATCCTTCAATATTATCATTTTTATTCTTACTACATTTCAAACCAAATTTTATGTTTTCTTTAAGTATATATAATATTCTTTTAGCCTAAACCCAAAGCTCTTCACTAATACAGTTATTGAATTGGATTAGGTATTAGGTAGGATCTTCAAACTGCCTATAAGTTGTTGATAAGGATTCTGATTATTTATTTATTTAGGCACACAAACAGAATATAATCCGGATTACATTTGAGTTACAGTCTAAAATTATATTTAGCTTGATTATATTCCCAAGCATGTGTACACTTCATAATCATTACAAAACCAATATTTTTGTCAGGAGCTACATTATTTAGGTACAATTTAAGACTAATGAATAAATAGGAACATATAACTTAAATTCAATTACTTAGTTGTTGATACAAAAAAAACATTAACGGACATTACAACTTAGTTTAAATTACATTCACTGAGTCAACAATAATATAAATAGGAGCAAAAGAGACAGATACAGTCAATTAAGATTGTGTAACAAGTATAATTAAAAAATAAAATAAAATTAAAGAATTAAATTAAAAAATTATAATAATAAATAAATTGTCAAAATTAAAATATAATTCAATAACAACTACATGGCAATAAACATAAGAAAAAAAAAGTCATTGGAGAGTAAATCATTAAATCGTCAATATAATAAGCCTTACCCTATTTTTAAGCCTTGTAAAATTGGGATCAAATATATCTAACATGTCACTGTGTTTTGAAAGTAAATCATTGTATGTACGGCAGTCTAATGATAGGGTTATAATATGATGTATTACTAATGTGAACGCTGAGGACGAAGGTATTCAAATGTGGATGTTGAGATCTAAATTTGATGTTAAAATGAATGAGTGATGATAAGGCAGATAGGTCGATTCTAGAATGAATTATTTTGTGCCATGCATAAAGTTCAATTCACATATGTCTTTATTTTAGTGTGAGCATATTAAAATAGTAAAATTCTATCTTTTAAGAAATATTAGATTTCTCAGAAGACTAATTTTTCTTGCAAATCCAGAGTCATAAAAGCTGAAGGTATAAAAGCTGAAAAAAATTGATTAATTACTGGGAAAACCATAAAAACAGCCCTTTTCTATTTCCCATACAAACGTTTTTTTTTACATTAGATTTGACAACTAATATGACAATCATTCTGTCGAACTTCAAAACACGGTGATTTATGGCATATGGTGAGCATATTAAAATAGTAAAATTCTATCTTTTAAGAAATATTAGATTTCTCAAAAGACTAATTTTTCTTGTAAATCCAGAGTCATAAAAGCTGAAGATATAAAAGCTGAAAAAAATTGATTCATTACTGGGAAAACCATAAAAACAGCCCTTTTCTATTTCCCATACAAACGTTTTTTTTTACATTAGATTTGACAACTAATATGACAATCATTCTTACGAACTTCAAAACACGGTGATTTATGGCTTACAAGTAAACTCCAAAAATATAAATAAAAAAACGTAATAGATATTTCTTGATTATAGGGCGATACGAAGTTCGCCAGGTCTTCTAGTATTTAATAAATATTGATTAATTAGTTTACATTCCGCGAAATGTTGCGTTTAAGGAACGTTGGAATTACTGAACTTGAATTTCACTAGCAACTCTTTTATCGTAATAGTATTATGTATTACTGTGAGTTATGTATTTTAAAACAGTCAACATGAAGATGAACTTAAAATTTTTTACTCATATAAATTTTTGTACTACTTCTATATTGTCGACGTTTATTTACATGCTGAAAAAAAAGAGCGTGGGAATTGAAACGTTGACGCGGGCTTTTTTAAAAGGGCAATGTCCATTTTTGGCCTAGCGTGAACAAGCTGCTATCAAAAAACAAGTTTATGAAAAAAAATATATTTTTTTAGCTAGCCATTCTATTGTTGTTGGAGTGTACATTTGTATTTTATTGAAAAAATATTTTTAAAGTATCTTCATTGATTTGCTTTATTGATCCACGTTTTGTGTTACCTGCAAGATCTCGCAGTACTTAATACAACTATAAGTATTTAATAAAAAATATAATATTTGTTTTTAATTAGTTTCGTCATTTAAAACGTTTTATAAACTGAAATATGAAGAATGTTAAACATAATCATATTTGTTTTCGATCGATTTTTTAATGATGTTTTTCTATTGCAACACTAATAAAACGAAAAAATACATATTGACATTGATATGTCACAGACTGATTGTTTACATTCGCTTTGTTTACCTATATACATTGAGAGTGTTGATTTATTATGGATTTTCTTTCAACGATTGTTTATTCATTATGGGCTCCGACCTATCTTTTTCCAATGACCCCTGCACATCTACGGACCCCGAATTTCGCTCAAACGATGACCCTGGCTTTTGTATTATGGACTCTGATCAAGGCATAAACGATGAACAACACTCACGTAATATGGACCCCGAAACTAGCTCCATCGCTAACCACGGCTTTAATATGGACATTGAACAAAACCAAAGCGTGTCTCATGATAGTCTGCACACAGAAGAAGTGACTTCTTACCAATCCGTATCTCTGAGATGCATAAACTGTGGAAGTGATTTGATAGAGAGAAGGCGACATAGTCTAGATCTTAATTAGGTTCAGTCTATTATAAGACAGTGGATAGCTCCTCGACGAGTAAGTGTCAATTTAATTAATTATTTAAATTACTCGTTTTTTTAATAGATATGTATTGTATATGCTATTCCTATAGTGCAAAATGAGGTTTTATTGTTTTATATAATTATAATCCATAAGGATTAAGTATATAAATACTGTTGTATTATAATAAATGAAAAGATGTTTACTCCTAACACATTAGCTGACTTTGTTATCGAAAATAATTTAAATAGAAGGCGGGCAGATTTTCAACCTATAAATGTAAACATGTATAGTTTCATATTTCCAAGAATAGAATATAATGATCTTATATTAATTGCATGTGGAACATACCAACTAAAACAAGCTTGTTTGTATTACAGGCAGCACATAAGAGGCGAAGGTTCCTATACTTTAGAAAAATGTAGAAATATAGCCAGCGACCTATTAGTTGACTACCTGATTCCTTTGGCCAACTGCAGATTATTGCATGGAAAAATACAAAGCAGGCATGTAAGTCAAACAATATATTTTATATATATATTATAATGTAAGGAAGCTATAAAAGAATATTATTGTAATTGTATGGTTAGTCGAAGGACAGTGGGTTGCTGCGCTCATATAATGACTATTTTATGGTTTTTAAGTTGGGCAAGGTATCAGGAACACATTTCACCACCTGTCCAATTTCTTGAACACATATTAATAACATATGATGTCTCAGAATAAAAATAAATCATAAAAAATGTTGTTTTATTTTGCTTTAACCTGTTTTTCCTCACATGACAAAAATCTCTTTTTAAACATTTTGATACAAAATTAAGTTCATATTCTCATTATTACTAGTTAGTGCTTTTAAACTAATTACAAAAAATATGATAAAATGGCTGTTCACGTCAGGCCAAAGTCCCCATACTAAGTGGACAATCTTCTTTTAATTATTTTAAATAGTTTTATACTATAATT